AGGAAAAGGAAAAAGGGGAAAATTAAATCCAAAACTTTGGGCTTAAACGTTTCCCTCCTGGCTGTCTCGCAAAACTATGGTTAACGTGGAGGGTGTCCAGGTTCTTGGGTCTTGAAAAAACAACTGGAAAAAACACCAAAACAAAGGCAAAGAAGGATTAAGGGATTTATTGCAAAATGAACAACGTAGCATGGGGGGCCGCGGTGGCTCAATGCTGTATCCCAGCAGCTTTGGGAGGACTGAACTCAAGGGTGAATCACTTGAGGTCAGGAGTTCGAGCCAGCCTGGGCCAAACATGGTGGTAGACTCGATCTACTAAAAAAAAATAATACAAAAGGTAGCCAGATGTGTTGAACACCACCTGTAAAACTCCCAGCTTAGCTTGGAGGCTTGAGGCAGGAGAATCACTTTGAACCGGGGAGGCCCAAGGGTTTGCATGTGAAGCCAAAGACTGCACCATTAACACTCCAGCCCTGGGCAACAGAGGGAAACTCCATCTCAAAAAAAAAAAGAAGCCCGGGCGGGTGGCTCAAGCCTGTAATCCCAGCATTTGAGGAGGCTGAGACACGGGCCGGAGGATCACTAGGTCAGGAGTATCGAGATCCATCCTGTGCTAAGACGGTGGGAAACCCCGTCTCTACTAAAAAATACAAAAACTAGCCGGGGCGAGGTGAGAGGGCGCTGTGGTCCCAGCTACTCCGTAGGCTTGAAGGCAGGGAGAGGGCGTAAACCCGGGAGGCCGGAGCCTTGCAGTGTGAGCCTGAGATCCGGCCACTGCACTCCAGCCTGGGGCCGAACAGAGCCAGAACGTCGCCGGACTCCGTCTCAAAAAAAAAAAAAAAAAGAAAGAAAGAAAAAAAGAAAAAAGAAAGAAAATTCTACAGTGTGGGAGTGGGCCCAAGCATAAGGGCAGGCAGATCACCTGAGGTCAGGAATTTGAGACCAGCCTGACCGACATGGTGAAACCCTGTTTCTACTAAAAATACAAAAAATTAGCCAGGCATGATGGCGCATGCCTGTAATCCTAGCTACTCGGGAGACTGAGGCAGGATAATTGCTTGAACCCGGGAGATGGAGGTTCCAATGAGCTTCAAAATGTAGCTGCCGTTTTGGACCTAGAGGAATGGTGGAACCATGAGTACAATGAGCTTCAATCCCCAAGGATTTTTACGGAGCAGACTGTCATACCAGCCCTACGCCACCAATCTCTGAGTGTTTATTTATTTATTTATTTTGAGACAGAGTCTCGCTCTGTCGCCAGGCTGGACTGCAGTGGCACGATCTTGGCTCACTGCAACCTCTGCCTCTTAGGTTCAAGCAATTCTGCCTCAGCCTCCCGAGTAGCTAGGACTACAGGCGCACGCCGCCATACCTAACTTTTTTTTTTTTTTTTTTTTTTTTTTTTTGAGACGGTGTTTCACTCTTGTTGCCTAGGCTAGAGTGCAATGGCGTGATCTCAGCTCACCGCAATCTCCACCTCCCGGGTTCAAGCGATTCTCCTGCCTCAGCCTCCCGGGTAGCTGGGACTACAGGCGCACATCACCACACCTGGCTAATTTTTGTATTTTTAGTAGAGACAGGGTTTCGCCATGTTGGCCAGGCTGGGGTTTCAAATTCCTAACCTCAAGTGATCCACCCACCTTGGCCTCCCAAAGTGCTGAGATTCCATGCAGGAGCCACCACCCCCAGCCATCATAAGAGGTCTTAACTACATAACTTCCAAACAGAAAACTTGGTCCCTTAGGTACTCACTGACACCATCTAGATACACCTGCTTCCTCCCTTACTCTTTGACTCGTTATGCAATGCCCTAAGGTATGCACACTGATCTGCTCACTCACAATGAAGACCTTAGATTTAATAATTCATGCCTTCAAATGCATACACACATGCCTAGTCCCTTTTTTTTTTTTCTTTTTTTTTCTTTTTTTTCAGATGGAGTTTTACTGTTGTTGCCTGGGCTGGAGTGCAATGGCACGATCTCGGCTCACTGCAACCTCTGCCTCCCAGGTTCAAGCGATTCTCCTACCTCAGCCTCCGGAGTAGCTGGGATTACAGGCATGTACCACCAAGCCTGGCCAAGTTTTTGTATTTTTAGTAGAGACGGGGTTTCTCCGTGGTGGTCAGGCTGGTCTTGAACTCCCGACCTCAGGTGATCGGCCCGCCTCGGCTTCCCAGAGTGCTGGGATTACAGGCGTGAGCCACTGTGCGCCCGACTTCTTTTTTTTTTTGAAACCAAATTTCGCTCTCGTTGCCCAGGCTAGAGTGCAGTGGTGTGATCTCAGCTCACTGCAACCTCTGCCTCCCGGGTTCAAACGATTCTCCTGCCTCAACCTCCCAAGTAGCTGGGACTACAGGTGCCCACAACCATGGCCGACTAATTTTGGCTTTTTAGTAGAGACGAGGTTTCACCACATTGGCCAGGCTGGTCTTGAACTCCTAACCTCAGGTGACCCACCTGCCTCAGCTTCCCAAAGTGCAGGATTATAGGCGTGAGCCACCACGCCTGGCTTGCCACTGTGCCCAGCTGTGCCTAGTCCCTTAGATGCACAAAGTGGACCTCAATAGCTACACTGTGGCCACACTCTGGCAGACATGCTCATCCTCCTATGCAGATACATTTGTACCCTTTTATAATTTTAGGGAAAATATGCTGACCAGTGATATCCTGGTAAGGGTTTAACAACTACCTTGCCAGGCTGGGAGAGG